GAAGGTGTGTTATGTTTGAAAATGGTGATCAGGAATTTATCAAATTTCAAAACTATAAAAGAACACAAAGAATACCTATTGTCATCTATGCAGATTTCGAATGTTTGTTAAAAAAAATACAGAATAAAAAAAAATCTAAAAATACTAAAACTAAAATTACACATGTACATAAACCAATAAGTTATGGATATTATGTTAAAATAGATTATTCAATTATACCAAAATATTTTATAAAAAAGTTTAAAATCTCTAAACCATTAACAATTTATAGAGGTAAAAATGCAGCGAAACATTTTATAAAAACTATGATTGATCTTGGAATTAAAATATGTAGTCTGTATAAAATTAATACCCCAATAAAAAAATTGACTAAAGAAGAGGAATCACGATTTCAAAGTGCTCAGTTTTGTGAGTGTTGTTTAAAAGATTTTAAAAAAAATAATTTAATAAAATGTCGCGATCATGATCATTTCACAGGAAATTTTAGATCTGTCTTGTGTGTATATTGTAATTTTGAAATGTCCAATGTCTCATTTGTTCCAATATATTTTCATAATTTAACCTACGATAGTCATTTCATTGTTCGTGAGCTTGGGTGCGATGAAAAAAATATTGATGTAATCCCAAATTCAAATGAAAAATATATATCATTTAGTAAATCAATTTCATCAAATTTTAAAATTAAATTTGTGGACACTTTCCATTTTTTATCAGATTCGTTAGATTCTTTAGCTAAAAATCTAGCTGAGGATCCTACAAGATTTAGAGAAACGTTAAAAGTATTTTCCTTAAATAATTTAAATTTAGTCATACGTAAAGGGGTTTTTCCCTATGAATATGTTGATGATTGGAATAAACTAAATGAAACTGTTTTACCTCAAAAAAAATATTTTTATAATTCATTAATTGACAAGAAAATTAGTAAAGAAGATTATATTCATGCTCAAAATGTTTGGAAAGGTTTTGATTTAAAAACATTAGGTGATTATAGTGATTTATACTTAGCAACCGATGTCTGTATTTTAACTGATGTGTTTGAAAATTTTCGTGATATTTGTTTAAGAACGCTTAAATTAGATGCATCGCACTATTTAACAATTCCAAGTCTAGGTATGGATTGTATGCTTAAACATACAAAAATTAAGTTAGAACGTTTAAAAGATTATAATATGCAATTGATGTTAGAGCGTGGTATTCGAGGAGGAATTTGTCAGTCTGTAAAAAGATATGTTAAGGCAAATATACCTAATGTTAAAGGCCTTACTTATAATAGAGCTAAACCTAATACTTGGATAACTTACTTAGACTGTGTGAATCTTTATGGAAAATCCATGCTTAGTGAATTACCTTACCAAAATTTTGAGTGGTATAATGATTTAACATTAGACGTAACTAAAATCGAAAATGATGCTGAGTATGGATATATATTGGAAGTGGATACTGACTATCCTAAATATTTACATTCATTTCATAATGATTTTCCATTTTTACCTGAAAATTCTTATCCCCCTAACTCAAAAATTCGAAAATTATTAACAACACTAACTCCTAAAATTAATTATGTTGTGCATTATAAAAATTTAAAACAGGCAATTGCTAACGGCATAAATGTAATCAAAGTTCATAGAATTATTCGTTTTAAACAATCCACATGGCTAGCACCATACATTGAATTATGTACGGGTATGAGGGTTAGATCTAAAAATGAGTTTGAACGACAGTTTTGGAAATTAATGGTTAATAGTGTTTTTGGAAAGTGTATGGAAAATGTAAGAAAACGTGTATCAATAAAATTAATTTCTAGTGAAAAAAAAGCACATAAATACATGATAAAGCCCAATTTTAAAGATAGAACAATATATTCTAAAAACTTAATGGCAGTTCATTTGTTTAATGAAAAAATAAAATTTGATAAACCTATTTACGTGGGATTTACTATTTTAGATATTTCAAAAACTTTCATGTATGATTTCCATTATAATATTATGAAGAAAAAATATGATCATAATTTAAATATTGTTTATTCAGATACAGATTCTTTGGTTTATGAAATAAAAACAAATGATTTTTTTGGCGATCTAAAAAATGAGTTATTACCTTATTTTGATACTTCTAATTTTCCTAAAAATCATTTTTGTTTCAATGAAAGTCGGAAAAACCAACCAGGATTTTTTAAAGATGAATTAAAAGGTGATATTTTGTTAGAATTCATAGCTCTACGTCCTAAATTATACTCTTATCGAGTTGCTAATAAAGAAATAAATAAAGCAAAAGGTGTTAAAAAATATATAATTAAAAAACATTTAAAATTTGATGAATACTTAAATGTTTTAAATGCTTATATTGATAATAAAGCAAAAGAAAAATCTGTTTATCGCGATATGAATTTAATTCAATCACATAACCATTATGTGTATTCAAAAACTGTGAATAAAAAGATTTTAAACGGTGACGATGATAAGAGATATATAATGAGAGATGGAATTAATACATTAGCGTATGGTCATTATAAATTAAGCTCCTAATATATTCAATATAATTATAAAAAATATAATTCTTTAACTATGTTATTTAAATCATTTTTTATTAGATAAGTACCTAATATAATTTATATGTATAGTTTTAGAACTTTAAATAATAATAAATTATTATTTTTAACTTAGATTTATAATTTATCATTAAATTGTTTTTGTTCAATTTTTATTAATTCATAATAATAATATTTATATTTATATTTTTATATATTTTTTACTGTGTATTTATTTATGTGAATTATTATTTTTTTTTAGTTCATTATGTCTTCAAGTAACGACATTATTACTATACCCACTATTTTAGATGATAATAATTTTACAAACCATCGACCTGCTGATATACATGTGGCTATTAGTAATTTATTAAAATCTTTATCACCATTTCGAGGAATTGAAATGAATGTTAGTAGAGTTGTAGAGTTTTATCCGCATATAGTACTTGATTCAGAACTAAATACAATGAAAGACGTATGTGGAAATTTATTTTGTGTGAGACTAACAATACAAGATGATCAAATAACTGAATCTACTGGTTGGTGTTCATATCACTGCTACAAAACTCATTCTGATTATTCCAATAATCGTAGCTATAAGCCATTGTATACCGTACATAGATTTGAATCGAGTATAAACTATCGAAATTGGTTTAAAAAACAACGTTGTTACAATTGCAGACGGTTATTAGCAAGAGGAGTGTACTTATTCGAACCAAAAGATATTTTCCAAATTAATGAAAACGGTGTACAAAGCGTAGAGGGACACTTTCCTATAACTGATCGATATAGGTTTTATTGGTCTAAATGTTTTTTAGAGCATGTTGCACATTTTTAAAATGAGATTTTAAATATATTTAAAGAAAAAATTAATTATAAAAAATATATGTTATATTTAAAGTATTTATTTTTTATTTGTATACTTATTTATCATCGATGTTTATAATTATACACAATGTATGAATTATATGAATGTGAATTATATGAATTAAACAAATGTTTAGTAAAATATTACTGCAAAATGTAGTAGAACCTAAAATAAAACTAACATGTACGTAAAAAAATAAAAATTAAAATGAAATGTAGTCTATACGAGTTGAAGAGTAATGATATTTTTTATATATTTAAGTTTATAGAGTAACCCTTACCTTTTATTTAAACCTATCATATTGGATTTTTACTACACGCCTTAACCCACTAGACTACATGTTCACGGAATATTACATAAAGTATTTACACATATAATTTGTTTAGTAAAATTAAATATTTTATTATTACATTTTATACATGAATTACAATGTATTAACCGACGACATCATACGATTTTTCTGATTTACAATTACAAACATGATTATTTTTAACATTTTCTATAAATTGGTTTCCTTTATATAATAATACAAATAAACAATTTGGGTTTGACTTAGAATGTTCAAACCATGCATCATCACTTCCTTGTATCCAGTTTTTTAAAATCAATCCACAAAAAAAGCATTGTACCATATCTTGTGTTCCTGTATACTTAAAACCACATTCAGAAAGCGAATATTTATCTTTCATTAAAGTTGATGGACATGATTCATATGTTTTAAGTCTTGATAAAAAACTAGAATATTCTGGGTATACCGGATATGGATTATTTCGTACTAAATATAGTAATGATGGAAAATCTTTAGAATATTTTAATAAATTCATGTTTATAATAAAATTATTTTATGGAAATAATATAATTAATATTTTACGAACAAATAATTGTAACTATACTCAAAAAAAAGTAAAAAACAACCTCACCGAACAATGATTCGTAAGCAACTGATAATATGTATTGAAAATATAAATAAAGTTAATTTTTTTTTTTAATTAACACTTTACACTCGATTACTAAAAAATATGTCGACTGACGATTATGAACTTAGAGACATTATGATTCATACAAAATGTACACACAGTAATAAAATTGTTCATCGAGATTGTTAATAAAAATGTATTACACCGTACAAATTATATTAAATACTAGGATCTAGTGTAAATAAAATTAATTTACACTTCCTACTAATTTTTTTATTCGGCACATAAAATTGTTACACATTAATTTATAACATATACAGTTTAACATTTATATAAGTTTTTTTACTTCTCTGTTAAGAGGTACATATTCTATAATACGATCATGAATTAAAAGACAATAAGCACTAACACCATCTAGATTTTCCATAGATTCAATTTGTACAGTAACATCAACAGTTGAAGCTGTGCCTGTATCATTTTGTTTTGAAGTATCTATCACAGCAATTGGTGCTCGTATTTCGAAATCAGTTGGACTCAATACCGGTTTACTATCATTTTTTCCATAATATGATTCTTGAAATGACGTATACA